GGAAGAGGAGGAAGAATAGGAATGGGAGGAGGAGGAGGAGGATGAGGAAGAGGCGCAGCCCCACAGAGATCTCCAGGTCTCTCCTCCTTGCGGCGCTCAGCACACGAGGAAAGGGCCACGCCCTGCGCTACAGGCGGGAGCACCGGGGAGGGATCCTTTTTGCCGGGCGAGGTTGCAAGCTCCTGCCACAAGGGGACCTTCTCACTGGGCTCCAGGACCCTCAAAAACGACTCGAGATTGAAAGAGTGGTCCTGCGGGCCGGGGGGGCCGCGCTGCAAAACAGATGCGGCGTCGGGATCTGGATCACGACGCCCTGAACGTGCTGCTACCCCTCCCCCTGTATCCCACCTGTGAGAGGTCAGCTTTGCAACCACTCCGACCGCGCCAAGACCAGCGGTCGGGGCGCCCAAGGATGGGAAACAGGAGGAGCACCGGAGCAAGGCGAGCACGATGGAGAGGACAGCAACCGTGAGATCCGACGTCGCGATCGACGTGCAACATCGCGGGAATCCCGACCAGACACCTGGACCCCACTCCTGCGGCATTTCTCGAGCTACTTCGATCCACGAGGTCCTCGGGGCCCGAAGCTGACCAACGTGCGCCCTGTGGGGAAAGAATGCGACGCCCGGATCTCAGGAGACGGGCACCGCACGGAGGACGCGAAGGAGAAGAGGAGCCAAGATGTGCGTGAGATGGTCGAGGCCGACGCCGCCGATCGGGCCGAGGCGCGCCAGAAGGTGGGCGATATGACGGCCGAAGTGCGGAGGCAGCCTGCAGACACGTCGGCACGGCGCGCAGCGAGCCTCACGTGGGGCCGAGGGCCCAAACGCTCCGCACGAGACCGCCCCAGACATCGGACGACGAGAACTTTTCAGCCCGCTGAGACGAAGCCAGGGCGAGGATAGATTTGGGGGAGAATAAATCGAGAGCCTGTGAGATCTGGCGGCTCTGGAGGATGTCTCGGGCGCCACGGCCCTCTCAGAGCGTTCTGGAACGCTCTGAGAGCGCGTTCCGGAGCACGCTGGAACGGATCTCTCCGCGTCCCGGCCCCGTCCAGCCGCGGCCCCAGGGCTCTCTCGACCACATCCCCAGGGGTGGGTGGGACGGGGGCAGCCTATCATCCGGCTCCACTGCTTTCCCGCCCAGAGATCAAAGCCCCATCGTGCGCTATCACGCCTCAGCCAGCACAGTGGCAGGTTTCGCACTGCCACTGCACAAATTGCCCCCCACACACACACACACACACACACACACACACACACACACACACACACGCGACAGCGCTGAGGAAGCCTGAGGCCCGCGGTGTCCCTCGTTGGATCGCCCCAGATCCATTCTGGATCGCCCCTGCGCACGAGATGGGCCCCCAGAGAGAACGAGATCTACAAAAAGATAAACCACGCCGGGGCCGACAAGAGGGATGCGAGAGGAGAGAGCCGAGAGGAGAGCGGGCGAGAGGGCCAAGGGCCACGACCACACAACAAAGCGACCCGCCCTGGCTGCTAAGAAGGGCCTGGCCGAGTCTTTTGTTTTCTCCATCGTGGCGAGGCAGTAGCTTCAGAGGCGTCTTCGGCGGCAAGCCAGGGGGGGAAGTGAGAAGGAGGAGGCCTTCTCAGAAGGAGAAGGAGAAGGGAGTCGGCACCCCACTGCTCTATTCAGAACGAAAACCCAGCGAAGGGAGGGTTGGAAATAAAGCACGCCAGGGCCGACAGAAGGGATGCGAGAGGCGAGAGCCGAGAGGAGAGCGGGGGGGGCGGGAGGGGAAGGAGAAGGAGAAGAGAGTCCGGCACCCAAATTTGTTTGCATAGGAGGCTCTGAGGCGGAGAGTAATGTCCTGCAGGCCGAAAATTAGAATGTTGCGTGTCCTGTAGAGAAGTCTCCGCTTACAGAGTTTGTGTCCTGTACACTCGCGTGTACAGGACACTCTCTAGTAGAAGAAGAAGAAGAAGAAGAAGAAGAAGAAGAAGAAGAAGAAGAAGAAGAGAAACAACAAAAAACGGCATAAACATAAACTGTTGGCGCTCTGCGCGGATTTCTTGGATCTGCGCTGGACCCCCAAAGAATCCGCGCGGAGCGCCGACGGTGAATGTTTACGCCGTTCTTTCTTCTTTGATCTATTCAGAGCGAGAACCCAACCGAGGGAGGCCTGGGAAGCAAGCGCGCGGGGGCCGACCCGACGAAAGTAGAGGTCCCGGCGCGGGAGGTCCGGGGCGCGCCTCTCCCCCCAAACGTTTTTTGCTGCGCGGCGGCTCGTCCAGGGAGGAGGAGCCGACGGGGCAGCGCGGCCGTCCAGCCAGCCTGGAGAGGCGAGGGGGATCGGCGGCGAGCGAGGGGGGGAAGTGCGAGAGGCCCTCTCAGAGGGCGGCGGGACTTCTTCTCAGAAGTCCTCGCGCCTTCTGAGGAGTCTTCTTGTCATGTCTTCGGGGAACGGTTCGAAAACTGCTCAGAAGGCCCGGGGACTTCCGAGCCTTCTGACAAGGCCCGCCCCTTCTCACTTCCCCCCCGCCCCCTCGCTCGCCGCCGCCGAGGGGAGGTCAGCCCGTCCAGCCGCCGCCTGAAGCAGGGCGATCGGCGGAAGCTGGCCCGCAGGTGTCGTCGTGCCGCCGAGGCCGGCTTGGTACGACCGTATTTCTACGACGCTGGTTCATGCCCACTTGCGTTCCCTCGAGGTGTAGTTATTCTTGAACTGCGGCTGCAGTTTGCTGCCAGGTTCCACTCCCCTCCTGGGAGTATATGCCCTAAGTGGCCCGCATCCCGACATGCAGCAACTGTCGGGCATGCTGCTGCGAGGGACGACCCCTGGCACGAGCTGGGTAGAACGCAGTAAATACCGTAGTAGATTCTACACAAAGGTCGAAACCACGCGCCGCACTAAACTCTTCGTACCTCCAGCGACCGCTTCGAGACCAGGCATTTTGACACGGAGTGACGCGCCAGCGTAGTTTCCGAGCATCAAACAACGTAGCGCAAAACACGTCGGAAGACAGGGTAACACAAATGCGCTGGATTTGTGCAAAAAAACATCCGAATCTGGCGCAGTCCATTGTGCATGGGAATCCATGTGCTTCAATGGGTGGGCGGAGCTCGAGCTACTAACAAACCCGGACCGTTCCGTCTCACGGTCTCCACGAACACACTTGTGCCAACCACGAATACATCGTTCAAGAACACAGACCCTCCGCCAGCCAAAATGAAGAGCATTCGAGGTACCCTCCCCCGGGATGCACAAGAACATCCAACAAACGCAAAGAACACGAGGGTACCCTCCCCGAACCGACCTCGATCTTATACCTCGGTCCGACTGTACTCTCGGGCACCATGGAGGGGGGAAAGGGGAGGGGAGCGGCCCGCAGCGAAGAGGACACGCCAGAAGATGGGAGAGGGAGGTCAGCCAGTGCGCAGCCAACAAGCTGGAACAAGATCTGTCAGTGTGGTTTCCAACATGCTCCCAGAGGCTCAAAGACCGCTCCAAGACGGCCCCAGGTGTCCACGAAGCCTCCCAAGAATGCACCCGAGAGGCCAAAATTAATCATAATTGCGTCGGTTTCGCGACGCGCAACTTGACGACAAAATGGGAGGCGAATTCACGACACACAAGAACTACAACCATCGCGCGCGCTTAAGTTCTAGCTAGGCTTGATAGGCTAACTCATGTGATATCAGTTTGGTCGCTTCTTGCGTCCAGGGGCTCCCTTGGAGGCCCTTCTCAAGCCTCGGAATCGTACAGAAGGGGAAGTGCGGAACCGCAGAAATCATTAATTTCCTTTTAGGTATTCAACGATTTGGGGCCCTCAAGGGTTTTCTGGGTTCTTTTTTGGGGAGGGGATCTGAATTGTGGTTTGTTGTGCAAGTGTAGACCCGGGGCCAAACTAGAAAAAAAATGATTGTGGGATTTCCATGTTTTTCCAGTTCCTCGGCGCGGTTTTTTGTTTGTGCCTAGCCGGGCCCCTCAGGGGTGTGGGATCTTCCGACCCCCTGGAGTTTCTGGAGGCCTCCTGGAGGCCTGGAGAGCCGCCGGAAGGGTGTCTCGGGCTGCGCGGGAGTGTGTTGGGCCGTTCTTTACGTTCTGGGGGCTCCTTGATGTTCATGGGCTGTCCTTCGGCGTCTTGAGGTCTCCCCCCGGGAAGCTGGTAGGCGCGGTACCGGCCAGATGTCAGGGGACGTGTGGGACCCACGAGTAGGAGTCCCATTCTGGAAAAAAAGAATTTGGGGAACTCCGTGTTTTCTCCGCGCGCACATTGCTGCGAGCTTCGCAAGCACATGCACTGGGCAGGTTCCTGGCTGCTTAGCGCACCAGCAGCCACGAACCAGCTCTGTACCCGACGGCACGTTCTTTCTGCTCGCCAATCGTAACCGCAGTTCCTTACCGGCTACGTAAAGGCAGGACTGCACTCCGCCCGCCAGCTCGGCCGCATCGGCCACGCCCCGCACGCATGAGATTGCCTCCGACGGGACGCGCAACAGGAGGATTTAGCATTAAGCCATTGGGCACAAAACTTGCGCTTCTCGCGATTCGGCGGCCTGCAATTGCAGTTTCAATACGCGCGCGACCACGCCGTGCCTTATATGCATCTTTCTCCGTGGAAAAAACAATCGTCGCTTCCTGCGCGCGCCAACAGACCGCGCAGCAAGGGCGCGCCCGCCCCGCGCGCCCGGCATCCGCCTGATTGCGGTGCGAGCCCGCGCCAGTTCGGGCGCGTTGACCACTGCCGCGCCCGCGCGGCAGAGCTTGTGCGCGGCGCGCACGAAGCACAAATAGCTTTGCAAACGTCCCGCTGCACCGAAAGAGTGACGCCCCTGCCAATAACGAATCAAGGGCCGGCGGGATCTGGGCGCCGTCGAGGCCCAGGGCACCTTGGCATAACCCATTCCAGCACCGCATGCCGCTCCGCAACCTTGCAAGGGACCGAGGACATGAGCCCAGCAACGACCGCGCTCGCTCCCTTTCGACCCAGTCGGCACGCGCCGCCGACGTACACAGTTGGTCCTGCAGCGCCGCCGTAGCGGCGCGCGGGCCCCTGCCTGTGTACGAGGCCGCAGGTGCAGTGCAATCCCCCTCGCCGGCTGCCGCCGCGACGATGGCACCCTCGACTGCGCCCAAAGAGCCCGGCTGTGCCGACGAAGGCGGCCGCCACACTCCTCGCGCTGGGCTGCGCGATCTTCGCAGCGTCGCCGCGGGTCGCGCCCAGGCGCGCGTGCCCGCCGAGCTATTGCGAGCGTGGCAATCGACTGGGCCCAAGAGAGATGTGCCTGCGGTCCGCCGCCTGGCTTCGGCGAAGCGTATGGGCTCGGCCAGGAAGGTACACAGTGTTGGTCCAAGCGGGCGCCCATGGCAATTCAGGTCGGTCACGCAAGCCCCGACCAGCTCATCGATGGACCCAACACGCAGCACGCGGCCAGCGGCCGCACATGTAGGGCGACGAGATCTATACATATCCACTGCTCCTGGCCAGGCCCATCCTGGGCCCAGGAGCTGTGTATATGCCTCCCTGGCCAGGCCAGGAGGGCGTATACACCGCTCCTGGGCCCAGGATTGGCCTGGCCAGGAGCAGTGGATATGTATAGATCTCGTCGCCCTAACATGGGCGGACCGCGGACGAGCGAGTGCAGAAGGTCACAAGCGGCAGACGCACGAGCAGAGCAGCACGAGCACCCCTCCCTTCCCCACGGCCCTGCACCCCGACCCCCCCTCCCCGTCCCACGGACGGGGCGAGGGTAGGGGAGCAAGGCAGACGCAGGAGCAGCATTCGTGCCAGCACACGATCGCTGCGACAGTGCGAGCACTGTCCCCGCGTTTGTGTGCTCCTCCCAAGAGGCCCCCAAGAGGCTCCGAGAGGGCCCCCAGAGACCGAAAAGAGGCCCAAGGCGCCCCAAGAGGCCCCCAAGAGGCTTCCAAAGTGCCTCCAAGAGGCCCCGAGAGGCCTCCCACGAGACCCCAACAAACATCCAATAGGCTTCATGCCCACAACCCAGACACGGCAAGGTCATTAGATTTATCTACATTTATATATATATATATATATAGATATAGAGAGAGATGAAGGAAAAAGGGAGAGAGAGAGAGAGAGGGAGAGAGAGGGAGAGGGAGAGAGGGAGAAAGAGAGAGGGGGAGAGAGAGAGAGAGAGGGAGAGAGAGAGAGAGAGAGGAAGGGAGAGAAAGAGACTGAGACAGAGAGAGAGAGAGAGACAAAAAAAAAAGCCTGACGACTAGAGAGAACGTGGATGGGGTGATGGGTGATGTCTGGATGCTGGTGATGCGCACCCGCATGAAGGAGCTTATGAGTAGTGACTGCGCTACCACCGGTGTTAAGGAAGTGTTGTTCCACAGGGACGCGCTCAGCCAACCGTAGCAGCACTCGTCGGAGAGAGTGCACGCTGACCTGGCCTGCGTCGTCGAAAATCGGGGCCCTGTTGCCTCGGACGGAAACCAAATAGTTGAGCATACGAGCACCGAGGCGGCAGCCCGAACAAGAGCCGCTCGAGACGCAGAAGGCCGACCACCCTGCAGATCAGCTACAGCAGCTCCCAGGGAAACGCCCGCCCACCGAACTCCACACGGTCCGTGGCCACCTCGAGCCCGGATCGCGACCAAGGCGGCCGCCCCGGCTAGAGACGCTCTGGAGGTAGAAGACCGAACTCCTGGCAGATCAGCGACAGCACCTCCCGGGGAACCGACCGCCCGCCAAACTCCAGACGGTTGGTGGCCACCGCGATCCCGAGCCCGAGCTCGGGCAGCGCCAGGCCGAAGGAGCCCCCGAGGCCCGCGTGGCCGAGCCCCCTGGCCGGCTCCCCGCCGCGCGCCGAGGGGCAGTCCAGCACGCGCATCCCCAGGCCGAAGGCCGCCCCCGGAGTCTCGTCCAGCAGCATCCGGGGCACGCCCCGAGGCCCAGGCCCGCCCGCGGCGGGCCCCCGCGCGCCCGCGGCCCGCAGCGCCCGCGCGCCCAGCAGCCCGGGGAGGCCCGCGTAGAAGCGCGCCAGGGCCCTCGCGGAGCAGTGCAGGTTCGCCGCCGGCACGCAGGCCGCCCGCACCCTCCGCATGTTGAAGAGCGTGGGGCTCATGATGGGCCCCCTTTCCACCACCGCTACCATAGGCAGGAGAGGGAGGAGGAGGAGGAGGAGGAGGAGGAGGAGGAGGAGGAGGAGGAGGAGGAGGAGGAGGAGGAGGAGGAGGAGGAGGAGGAGGAGGAGGAGGGGAGGAGGAAGGAGGGGGGAGGGGGAGGAGGGGGGAGGGGGAGGAGGAGGGGGAGGAGCAGGAGGAGGAGGAGGAGGAGGACCTCCTCGTCCTCCCTTCTCCCCCGTCCTACATGTGGCAGCGGTGGTGGAAAGTCCGCCCATCAGCTCAGGAGCGGCACGGCCGGGGCGCCCGAGCCCCGCTGGGGGCCCTGCGACGGGCCGCCCCCCGCGACCTCCAGGGTGGCCAGCCGGCCCTCCTGCGCCAGGACCCGCTGGGGGACGCCGAGGATTACCAGCCTAGAACATATCCCTATCCCTATGCTGGGCATCTCCTCATCACGATGCCAATCTTAGGGATTCCCTTATATTTTTGGAAGGCGAATCCCTAAGATTGTCATCGCCTTTGGGCGTGTCAATCTTAGGGATATGGATACGTTCCAGGCTGGTAAGAGGAACATCTCTTCCGAGAGGCCCAGCGGCGCCACGACCCGGCTCTGCAGCACCTCCGCCAGGCCCTGCCCGGTGCAGCCGCGCGCGAGGCCGGCCAGGAGCCACCCGAAGGTCAGGGCGTGGTAGGCCTCGGCCGCCCCCGGGGCGCTCGCAGGCCGCGCGCCCGCGACGAAATCCACCATGGCGTCCAGGTCCAGCAGCTGGAGACCCAGGCATCCGGCGTCTCGAGAGAATCGAGGCAAGGGTGCTTCGTAGCTTTCGGCCTCTCGGGGCCCTGGCAGGACCTCGGGGCCGTCAACAAAACGACTCGGGAGGAGAAGCCTGTCCCAGGCAATTGCTCGAGAGGTCGGGGGGGCGTGCCTCGAAAAAATCGAGACGCCGGATGTCTGGGGATTTGTTTCGGGGGGGCGATCTACTGCCCGTCAAACCGGCCCTTGGCCGCTCCCACACACGAGGTATAACGTCACGATTCGTGCCGACCTTCGAGCTGGGCTTGGTCACTCGGATCCTAGGCACTCCCGGACGGCGCCAGCGCGAAACGCAACGTTACCGGCCCCACGGCCCTCCCCCCCCTCGGTAACGCCCGTGATGCCGCCCGGGAATGAATGCCCTTTCCCCGGCGGCGAGGCAGAGGCGTGCGGCTGTTAGGGGCGACCGAAAGGCCAAGTGTCCGGCGTGCAAGGGGAAGGAAGAAAGCGCGGGCGGCCGCGCGGGGGGGGAGGGGCAGGGGAGAGCGCCGGGAGCATCAAGAAGCACGCGCTCCTGGTCCAGCGTGACGCCCTCGGGCAGGGCGGTGGCGAGGCCCGCGCGGTGCCTCAGCACGTGCTCCACCGTGCACGCCCCCTTGCCCTCGGCCGCGAACCCGGGCCAGTGCCTCGGCACCGGGTCCTCCAGGCGCAGCCGCCCCTCCCCCACCAGGCGCAGCAGGGCGGCGGCGCACGGGGCCTCTCCCGGCGGCACGCACGACGAGGGGCCCCCTGGAGGCGAGGGGGGCCTGTGGTGTGCGCGGCCCCTGAGAGCCTGGCGCCTCCGGTCTCGTCGAGCTGGGCGTTCTGGCCAAGTCTTGGGCCGCGGGGCCCTCACGGATCGGGCCGGCTCGAAACATGGCGCCCAAAGAAGATGGGGTCTAGGGCTCCCGTCTTGATTCTTGCGACGTTCGCACGTGTTCGCGACGTCGGATCTCAGGTGCCCAGGGGGCCCTTTGGGCACACAAACGGGCGCGCAAGCCGCTGCTACCGTGTCGCACTCAGCGATCGGGGGGCCCCCATGGGCCCGCACCACAAGTCCTCCCGCCGAAAGGGCACTCTTGAGCGTGTCGCCGAGCCTTGCCCGCGGAGAACACGCAGAAGAGGCTGTCCGGCCGCACCGGCCGCGGGTCCGCGGCGCCGAGCTCGCCGGCACACACGGAGGCGAGGAGCGCACCTCCAGGCCCGGCCACGGCAACCTGCAGGCCTCGCAGTGCACCCTGGGCTCAGAGGAGAACCATGGGCCACGAGGGCCCCGAACGTGGCCAGCCCACGGCGGTCGCGGCGCCCGCGGCATCTCGCTACGGGCGAGGCTGGAACCCCCCCCCGCCCCGACCCCGTGCCGCGAGCCTGAGCTGTCGCAACTGGAGGAAGCACCAGCTGCGGCAGACTTGGCCCAGTGGATCCCGGCCGAGCTCTGGGGCCTCGGGGCCCGCTCACCGCCACCGAAAACCCATCGCGACAGGGCGCCGACTTCTGGGCGGGGGCGCGCATGCGAGCGTCGCCCAGAACTGGACGACGCTCGGGCGCGCCACCGCCCAGGAGTGGGCCCCCGTCCGATGGGTTCTCGGTGGCGCAGGTCCATGCTCCTCCTCTGATGGGCGTGAATCTGCTCCAGGGCCGACTCGAGGCGCCGCTGCAGGGGTGACCCAGCGCTCGCCGCGGGCAGCTGCGGGTCCCCGCCGCGGAGCACGCCGCCCGCCGAGCGCTGCGCTCGCGGCACCGCCGCGCGCAGGGCCCCGCGGGCCGCGCGAGCCATGATGCCCATGTAGTCCACGGGGACGTCCAGGGAGGCCGCCAGGCCCTTCAGCAGGCCGGTGACCCGCAGGAAGAAGACCAGCTCCACGGGCCAGGCGGCCACGGGCCGCCTGCGCCTGCCCGCGGGGGCCTCCTCGCGCCCGCGGCGCCGCTCCCCCGCGCGCTGCCTGCGCAGCGCCGCCGCCTGGGACTTCGGCACCGCGGTGAAGAGCCGGCGCATGTTGGCCAGGTCCTCCAGGGGCTCCCGCTCGAAGAGGAAGCCCATCTCCTCCAAGGCTCGCTCGAGACCATCGGCGTCGACCGCCTCGGAGGCGTGCAGAAGCCGCGCGAAGGCGAGCCGCATCTCCGGGCTGAAGCGCTTCGTCAGCCCGTAGTCCATGAGGATGGGCATGCTCGGGTCGCCCCCATTCTGCGCAGGGTCTGTGGACACGTGCACGTTTCCAGGATGGGGGTCCGCGTTGAAAAACCCATCCCCATGAATTTGGGCCGCGAAGGCCACACACACCCTTTCTACGAGCAACTCACAATTGACACCCAATGCTCCCAAAATCTCTGGGTCTCGCGCTGGCACCCCGGCGCAAAAGTCCATGATCAGCACTCTGGGAGTGACCAAGCCGTCCTTCGGCTTCGGTACAATGGCCTTGACACTGGACCTCTCCAAGTTCAGAGCAACTTCCCGCAGGTTCGCGGCCTCTTGCACGAAATCCAGCTCCTGGCGAACAGCAACAGACCACTCAGAGACAACCGGCCTCCAGTCCTGGTCCGCATCGAAACGACGCATCAGCCCAACTAGCAAGTCCAAATTCACAAGGTCCATGCGCATTTGGGTGCCGACACCTCTGTGCTGCACCTTGACTGCAACAGTCTCGCCGCTACAGCGCAGGCGGCCCCTGTGCACCTGAGCAACGGAAGCCGTGGCCAGCGGCTCTGCGTCCACCTCTACGATCTGCTTCCACGATGGGCCGAGCTCTTCACTGAGCGTGAGCGCCACTCGCCTCCACGGCGACGCCTGGCCCGCGTCCTGCAGCCCAGAGAGGTGGCGGATGTAGGGCGCGGGCACAACGTCGGGCCTCGAGGAAAGATACTGGCCGATCTTCACCCACAGCCCTCGCAGGCGGTCGATGACCCTCCTCACTCGGGGAGCGTTTCTCTCGTGGGCTGCCTCCCACATCGCCTCGACTTCCGCAGGCTCTTCCTCCCAGGCCTCCGCCCTTGCGCTGAGCCCGAGCTCGCGCCGCTTGCACTCGGCGCGCCGGCCGGTACGCCGGTAGTCCCACCACAGGAGGAAGGCTGCGCTGTACAGTCGCAAGGCGCGCGGCGCTGCCACCAGGGCTTCTCGGAACTGCAAGCCTCGAAGCCCTGCGGCTTCTGACGCACGCGCTGCCGGTGCTGCTCCAGCAGCGTGCTCGAGCGCACTGCCCGCGCAGAGCCGGCGCCCACCACGCCAGAGGCACCTGCTATTGCGCCAACGACCGGACACTGCCATCGGCGGCCTGGAGTTGCATCGAGTGCCTAACACTATCGCCGACGAGGCCGCGAGGACAGCCGAGAGTTGACCACCACGACCCCTGCATGGCTGCACCTGCGGACGAGCACCGCTGAAGAGACACGTCGATTGTCGATCGTGTGACCTCCAAGCCAGTGCGCCCTCTGGCACATGGCCTCTGCCAGGGAACCCCAGGAGTTCCATCAAGCGGCAGATGTCGTCACAGAGTGCGTCACATGCATCGCCGATGACAGTGCTGCTCTTCTTCCCGAGCCCTGGCCCAAATGGCTTGAGCCAGGAAGGCTACGGAGGTGTTGAAGAAATGTGTCAACTCCGTTTGACACTGCTTAGGATGCACCCCGACCGGAAAGCCTCTGGACTTGCTGACGAAATTGCATGTACTTGTCACGTGTGTAACGATGTGTAACGACTCAGCCCTGGAAAAAAGGGTGGAGCGATGAGGCGATGACGGCCTCGTCGAAATCCTGGAGCTCGCCGAGCCAAGATCGAATCCAATGAAATACACGACTATGTTGAGCTGCTCCCACAGGGACTTCACGCGACTAGCTGCCTGCGAACCCGCTGCCCTGGGGAGTCCTTGCTAGTTCACGTGATAAATTCCGTTGAGGAAAAGGAGCGAAAGGGGCCTTGATGGCGGAGTTGGAGCTCTTCACGTTAACGTTTCAAGGCTTCCCTGGGGAGCTGGAAAAATCCCACCAGCCCTTTAGGGCGTGAGTGGTTTAGAGCGGTTCCTTTTCCACCCCCCCATTCTTCCCATTTGGGGAGGGGATCATCACTGTTCCCTATGAATAAACACCCCCTCCCCCAGGCGACCGGCAGTCAACCAGGACCAATGAAAACCCCCCCACACATCCCTATCAAAAAAAAATCCTGGCGAACGACCCAGCCATATGCAGTTGAGAGTACCGCCGTTGTGAAAAACGCCTTCGGTGGAGCTCACTGCGGGGACACGAAGCGCGTGAAGGGAGCGCCGAAATGAGGCGGGGCGGCGGGGCCGCCATGCGGGCGCTGCCGCTGGGGCCGCCCGCAGGGGGAGAGGAGGTCAAGCGAAACGGGTTACATGCTGATGTGACCCGTTGCGGCTGACAGACACCAGGATAAGCAGGAGAAGACATGCGGGCGCGGCATGCAAACCAGCCACTGGGGTCTTCGGTGGAGCTCCCTATCAAGCCACGAAACGTGTAAGGCGTGTGCCAAAGCGAGGGAGGTGGCGGCATGCAAACCAACCACTCAGGCCTTCGGTGGAGCCCCCTGATGGGACCACGAAACGTGTGAGTGGTGTACCAAAGTGAGGGGGGTGGCGGCATGCGAACGCAGCCACTGGCGCCTTCAGAATACAAGTTTGCGCTCTTCAACCTTGGCCGTAGCGCATCTCATGAGCGCTGTGGACCGTGACCTCGGTTACAGCAGCCTCTCACTGTCGACTTCGGCACCCAACTCATCCTAGCTTGTCGCCCGCCGCTGATACCCCAGAGTGCAATGGGTCTCGTAAGCGCGAGGCGCATGGTCTCTCGCTCGTTCTCCGGCATCTGCGGGTTGTTGGAGGAGGCAAGAGGACTGGAAGGACTCTCGCTATAGCTCGGACGTCCATTCCCCGTGCATTTGTTGATTTCGTGCGTATACTCTTACGCAGGATGACCCAGGATGTTCTTCGATGGTCCTCGAAGAATGAAACAAGCACACGTCCGAGCGATGCCAAGGACTGGTGGATGTGGGTGGCTCCTTTTCGCCCGATGGTCGATCGGCGGCACGAGTGGCTGGATACAGAGATCTGTCTCGCTCTTCATGGCTCCGCCGCTGTGCCAGCGGAGGTTCAACCCGTGTAATCATGATGCGCGGTAAGGATGCGAGGGCCTTCGAAGGCCATGTCGACACTTTGCGAGCGGGGCGCGGCCAGCGAAAGCTGCCAAGGATGGGCCAAAGGGGAAGGATGCAAGGGTTACCTTGGAAAGTCGCTCATTCTTACTATGCGGGAGCCGGGTTGACTGTAGGCCCACGGATTCTCGTCATCCTTCTTGCGGGCGGTCTTGGGCAGTAGTGTGGAGGTTGCGGGAAGTGGGAGGAGGCTCGGGGTTGACGGAGGAGGCGTGGCGCTTGGTTCTCGTGCTGCATGCCGCCCGGCATCCCATCCACCCCGCACCTTCCAAGCTCGAATGGTAAACATGCTGCACTGTTTACTTTGGCTGGGATCGCCTTGGCTTGTACTCGGCCCTGCGTTGGGTCGCCCGCAGCTCTTACCCGACTTCCTCATCATACTTTTCTCTCTCTCTCTTGGTCCTTCCTTGCCACGTTGAGTATCCTGGACTGCCGTGTGGGCCTGTCCCGGTTGTTGTTGATGGTGGGGGAGACCAATCGGAGAAGATGGAGGAGTCGGAGGTGGTGTTCGTATTTGCATGTCTTGGGCACCCCTTCCCCCACCAGCACCCAGGCTCGCAGTGCTGCATTTGCGGGAGGGGCTATGCGCGCGCGCGTGGCCCCTCGACTGACGCTGCGGGCCGAGCGCCCCCATGGCATGGCAAAGAAGGAGGGGGAGGAGGAGGAGGAGGAGGAGGAGGAGGAGGAGGAGGAGGAGGAGGAGGAGGAGGAGGAGGGGGAGGGGAGGGCCGGGCGTAGGGTCCGGCAGGGACGCGGTCAGGGGCACCACGGCGTCCTCCTCTGGGAGGGTGAGGTAGAAGGGCGCGCGGCCCAGCCTGCAGGAGGGAGTGATGGGGAGTAATGGGAGGCAGAGGGGGGAGCGAGGTCCTCCTGCCCCTCCTCCTCCTACTCTTCTTTTTCTTTCTCCTCCTCCTCCTCCTCCTCCTCCTCCTCCTGATCCTCCTCATCCATTCTTTTCCTCATGAGAAACTTTTCCCTGTCCAGACCCGAGACGTATCGGCAGGGCGGGCTGGGAGTTTCGACTGAGACTTCCTCCCCGCTGGTGATTATGAAGCTTGAAGTTCGCAGCAGTAGCAGCTTCACGAACGGAGGGCGGGTCGTTTTCAAAATGGGTCTCTCGCATTAGCGCCGCGCACATTCGTCTTGCAAGCTTGCAGAAGTTTCACTGGTGGAGGGCGGACGGATTTCAAAATGTGGCTCTCGCTTTAGCTCCGCGCACATCCATCGTAAAAGTTTGCAAGAGTTTCACGGGTAGAGGGCGATGATTCCCCAAACATCCTGTGGTGTTGGGTCCTCGTTTTGAAGAGACAGCGCCCCGCGTCCCACCTCCTTCCTCCTTCCTCCTCCTCTCCTCCTCCTCCCTCCTCCCCCATCCTTGCCTTTGCTCTCCGCATGTCTCAGCTCATCCCCCCCTCCCATCATCATCATCATCATCATCATCATCATCATCATCATCATCATCATCATCATCATCAGCAGCATCATCATCATCATCATCAGCATCATCATCATCATCATCAGCATCAGCAGCATCATCATCATCATCATCATCATCATCATCATCATCATCATCATCATCATCATCATCATCATCATCATCATCATCATCATCATCATCATCATCATCATCATCATCATCATCATCGTTATCATCGGCATCGCCATGGCTGATTCGTTTCGTGGCCCCATAGGGAGCTCCACCGAAGGCCCCAGTGGGGGGGGGGCCACATGCGGCTCCCACGCCCAGGACAGCGTCTCGTGGCCCCATAGGGAGCTCCACCGAAGGCCCCAGTGGGGGGCCACATGCATGCGGCTCCCACGCCCAGGACAGCGTCTCGTGGCGCCATAGGGAGCCCACCGAAGGCCCCAGTGGGGGGGGCCACATGCGTGCCCAGGACAGCCCCCACAGGGAGCTCCACCGAAGGCCCCGGTGGGGGGCCACATGCTCCACCGAAGCGTTTCCCCCAGGGAGCTCCACCGAAGGCCCCAGGGGTCCACATGCGGCTCCCACGCCCAGGACAGCGTCTCGTGGCCCCACAGGGAGCTCCACCGAAGGCCCCGGTGGGGGGGGCCACATGCGCCCCCCACGCCCAGGACAGCGCTTCGTGGCCCCATAGGGAGCTCCACCGAAGGCCCCAGTGGGGGGGGGCCACGTGCGTCCCCACGCCCAGGACAGCGCTTCGTGGCCCCATAGGGAACTCCACCGAAGGCCCCAGTGGGGGGGGGCCACATGCGCCCCCCACGCCCAGGACAGCGCTTCGTGGCCCCATAGGGAGCTCCACCGAAGGCCCCAGTGAGGGGGGGGCCACGTGCGTCCCCCACGCCCAGGACAGCGCTTCGTGGCCCCATAAGGAACTCCACCGAAGGCTCCAGAGGGGGGTGCCACATGCGTCCCCCACGCCCAGGACAGCGCTTCGTGGCCCCATAGGGAGCTTCACCGAAGGCCCCAGTGGGGGGGGCCGCATGCGTCCCCCACGCCCAGGACAGCGTTTCGTGGCCCCATGGGGAGCTCCACCGAAGGCCTCAGTCGGGGGGGCCGCATGCGTCTCCCCCACCCAGGACAGCGCTTCGTAGCCCCATAGGGAGCCCCACCGAAGTCCCAGTGGCACAGTTCGCATGCGTCTCGCCCACCCAGGACAGCGTTTCTTGGCCCATAGTACCACCGAATGCGATACTCACAACGACGGTATTCACAACTGCATATGGCTGGGTCCTTCGCCAGGCTAATGTTCGACATGTGGCTCTCGCCTTAGCGCAAGAGCTTATGACAGTGTCAAGGACTATCCTGGCGGACGTCACAGCGATCGTACTGTGGCACGATGTAGGCGCAACAGTCATGTTGCTTCACGGTGCTTAAATCCGAAGAACTGTGTTCTGGCACGCGTCAAGAACGCCAGGGTGCAACACTAACGTTGATTGGCGGCGGTCAAGACCCAGGAATAGTTTATGACACGGCTCCCGATTTACAAGCGGTTGCGGTCGTCTTCCAACGAGGCACTTCCTCCAGTCAAAGTGAATACTTTAGGAAACTAAAAAAAATAATTCGGAGAAAGGCTTCACTGCAATATCGTTGATTAGTCTTGTGCGTACACAAATCCTACGTCCTCCTGCTCCTCCTCCTCATCCTCCTCCGCCTCCTCCTCCTGCTCCTCCTCCCTCCTCCTCCTCCTCATCCTTCTCCGCCTCCGCCTCCTGCTCCTCCTCCTTCCTCCTCCTGATCATCCAACCCCTCCTCTTCCTCCTCCTCCTCCTCCTCCTCCTCCTCCTCTCCTCCTCCCTCTCCTCCTCCTCCCCTTTCTCCTCCATTTTTTTCAGTCTGAATAATTCCTCCTTGTCCAATACCGAGACGTGTCGGCAGGGCGGGCAGCTTCACGGATGGAGGCCGGGTCGTTTTCAACATCCGGACTCCGCGCACATTCGTCTCAAAACCTAGAAACCAACTACATGTTCAAGGATGGTAGCGCCGTGCACATTTGTTTTCAAGGGTTCACCACGGCTTCAGGGATTCGCATGGTCAAAATCCAAGGAACAGTGTTCTGGCACGACTTCGGCATGTCAGGACGCAGCAGCCACGTTGATTCGTGGTGCCGAACTCCTGGGAATGGTGTTCTGGCAGGATCTGGGACTGTCAAGACAAAAAACGGTCGCATTGGTCCGCGGCGTGGAGTCCCAGAACTGCAACATCGGTAATGCATCTTGGGTTTACACTGATCCTCCTCCTCCTCCTCCTCCTCCTCCTCCTCCTCCTCCTCCTCCTCCTCCTCCGCCTCCTCCTCCTCCTCCTCCTCCTCGTAGAACCCCCTCTTTGATCGATGGCCTTCAAAGTGGCACCAAGAGCCCAAGAGGGCCCTACAGGCCCCCCAAAGGGCACCACGAGGCTGCCAGAGAGCCCCAAAGGCACGCAGACTGGTCTCGCGAGGGCCCCAATAGGGCCCCACGATGGCCCCGAGATGTCTCCAAGAGGCTCCCAAAAGAGTCACTGCCTGGTGAGTGTCTTCTACATGGCCTGATGGGGATACTTTTTTGGGGTCGCGGCCGCGGGCGAGAGCGCACACGGCGAGTCGTAAGTCCGGGGCGCGGGCCTACGAATTGACAACAGATGCAAACTAGAGCCGCACACCTAACCTGCCTAAGCTGCCTAAGCGGCGCCTCACGTGAGCAGCAAGCTGTCAAGCAAGGCCTGATGGGGATACACGGAGCGTCAACAACGCTGGGGACTTCAAGCACGAGCGTGCGCGGCGCTCCGGCCAGCGCCAGATTGTCAACCGGTGCTGCCCTCCACCAGCGCAGCTGCAGGGAGCCTCAGGCCCCAGCGGCGTCGGCGGTGCGACGACGCGAAGCGACATGTCACGAAGAGTGTCGGGAGCGGCCAAGAGGGGGGCGTCCAAGAGGGGGGGGTGCAAATCATGGCCGGCGGCACGTGCGCGGCCCAGCGGGGGGGCCAGGGACGTCATGAAACAAGAAGAGGCGCCATGAAATCTGGGGAAATATC